TAGCCACAACATGGTTGGCAACAACTCTAGAATTCAATCTTTAAACTTTATGTAAAAGAAGGAAAAATCTTACATTAAACTCTCAAATTTACTTTAGATTTTTGATTAAATTTTTAAATTTTTATTAAAGTAAATAAGTTTTTAAATATGTATTATTAAAAATTTTGTAAGAACGAGAGTTAAGAGTACACTAAAAAAGGATTTTTTAATTAAAAAACTTATTTTTTTAATGTAAATTTAACTTTTATTTGTGTATTATTTATATAAATAAAATTTTAACATGTCATTTTTAAGTGATAAATGTTAATTTTATCCATATAAATGAGATATAAATGTGTATTAACTCTGTTAAAAAAAATTAAATTACTCATATGGACAAGTCTAAAGGCAATTTTTTTTTTTGAACTGAAGTTAAATTATAGTCTAAAGGCAATTTACTTTATTAAAAGTTTAAAAATTTAATTAAAAATCCGAAATAAGTTTAAAGAACTAAACATTTGCCTTAAAAAAAACAGACCTTTACGTAAAAAAAAAAAATGGAAAAAAAGAAAAAATCATAATGATATGCGCCTTTAGCCAATAAAAAGTAGTCCAGTGCGCGTGGACTCTGCTGTAGATGGCTGCAGGAACGTTCACAATAATATAATGAAGTTTCACAGCAAGCTAAAATACGGAGATTGCCTCCTCCTTTGTCCTTTTAAAAGACCGACAAAGACGAAGACGCAGCAGAATTCCACTTCTTTCCCTTCTCCGAAGTCAACAACCCGACACCGCCGAAGCTCCTCTCTCCATTCCTGAAACAATGGCCGTCTGCAAAGACGACATCGAGATACTGAAGCCTCGTACGGATAAGAGGGAGTACCGGCGGATCGTCCTGAAGAACTCCCTCCAAGTCCTCCTCATTAGCGATCCGGAAACTGACAAGGTACTCTGCAATTCCTTCTCCGTTCTCCCCTTTCATTCATTCACGTCAGAAATCAACCGTTTCTCATTGTTGTTTCTTGATGTCTCAGTGTGCTGCTGCTATGGACGTCGGTGTTGGTTCCTTCTCTGATCCTGATGGCCTCGAAGGCCTCGCTCATTTTCTCGGTATTTCTTCTTCGTGTCATGGTTTTTTTGCTTAATTTCTCGATTTCCGGCTATTTATTCCGATTCAGTATTATTTCCGGCTCCTGGGATTAGGGTGGTTGGTCTTGGTACTTGAATACTGCTTTTTGTTGTGATGTATTTTCTCAGAGCACATGCTGTTCTATGCTAGTGAGAAGTATCCCTTGGAGGATAGTTACTCGAAGTACATTGCAGAGGTAATGTAATACAGTCTTCGTTCTTCTAATTGATGGTTGACTAAATAGGAATGAATGTTGCTTTCCAATGTGCTATGATTTAGTGTTAGTAAATAGAAGAAAGGATGTGATTGGTTTTTGGTTGATCAAAAGAGTTGCTTCTAATGGGATTTTGAATTCTTTCTAAGCTTGATTAATAATTTCAGAACTTGTAGTAGAAATGAGGATTGTGGACTATGTTAAAGCCATTTCTATCTTTTTGCTGACCTCTCGAGTGGTTTGTGTACAGCATGGAGGCAGAGCAAATGCCTTCACAGCTTCTGAGAGTACCAACTTTCATTTTGATGTTAATATTGGTGGTTTTGAGGAGGCCTTGGACAGGTAGGCACTGCTTGATCAATTCTCTGATTTTGATTAATTCTCTGTGTGGTTGGATTAGTTTTCCTGATTTATTCTTCAGATTTGCACAGTTCTTTATTAAACCATTGATGTCAGCCGATGCAACCACAAGGGAAATCAAAGCAGTTGATTCTGGTTTGCCATTTTCTGAATTTATTTTGGTATATTATTTCTTACATTGTTGAACCGCAATTTATTTGTGCTTATTCTCTCTCTCTCTCTCTCTTTCTCTAGAGAACAAGAAGAACTTACTGTCTGATGTTTGGAGAATGAGTCAGGTAGTAGCTACACTGTTCTGGACTCTCTTTTTGTCAATTGAGTGATTTCAAACTTTTTTCTTTTACTAAAGATTTCAAGCTTTTGAAGTGCTAACTTCAAATGCGAAATTTTTTGTTCTTGTTTCTTTTAGTAGACTTAGAGCTTATATTTAGATTAGAAACTCTCCCTTGTTTTATTTTATTGATTAATATATCTTTCAGCACAGAGCATAATGATGGCATGTAAGGAATTGAATATTTCTTTGCCAAATCTAGACTGGACTTTGAAAAGATGACTTCTGTGTATATGCATACACTTTGCACATGGTACTAAAAAAATTTGGATTTTGTAACTGCTTTGAAATTTTTGTAAAAATTTTTTCGAATTCGTTTTTGCGAACTTGAGAGCACTGCATTTGCACTCCCTGTTGCTCATGTTTTGACACTCAAGAGCATAATTTTTTTGTTTGATTGACTTTCAAAAGTGTAACCACTTACTGTATATAATTATGTGATTGGATCCTCAAAGTAGTGGCAAATTGTGAGTTTTTTAATTTTGAGAGTGATGTTTGGTTGGTTGTTGATACTTGAAAAGACTAGACAAGATTATACCTATGAGGTCTGTTTTTTAATGCATAAATTCCTTTTTCCTTTTGGAGGAAGGATAACACCAATGGACATGACACTTACTTTCCTAGGCAATAATCTAGTTATGTTTATTTGTATTGAGTGAAAGCGAAGAGTAGCTGTTAGAGATTTTTTTGTATTTTATTTGGTTGAAAATAGATATGAATGCTGGGTTTTTGGCTTTCGCTAATTGAAAGGTGGTTTACTTCATATTTGGACATTGATTATGGAATTTGCTTACATAAGTCTTTTAATTAGTGTCTTTATAAGTATCTGTATCCTTTCATTATAGCTTGTGAAATTACTAAATAAACGAAAGGTCTAGTGGCTTTCAAAGCCTTCTTTTACTGCTTTGTCATCAAAATGTCTAACTTTATGCTTCAATAGCGTCATGCTATTTGAATGAAGCACAAGAAAATCTACTGGCTCCTTATCCTCAAGGTTCCACACACCTTCCCCCTTCCTCTGAAACCTTCGAACGAAACCTTCGAACACAACCAGGGCTTTCTGATTAGTTCAAAGTGGGTTTTCTTATGCTTTTTAATTGGACAAGATATTAATGCTATCAGCTTTAGTTCCTTTCTTCCCACACTTTGGCAAGATTTTATTTTTATTTTTTATGAGCAGCTTTAGGTGGAATATATTTGCTAAAGAATTAAATTCATTGTACAATGCAATCATTGCCTTCATCTGTGTTACAATTTTATGTTGTGCCATTTCTTAACTGTGAAATTTCTGGAACTTGACCTAACTGCTTTTTCTCTATTTAAACTTTTCCTTCTACACAGCTTCAAAGGCACATCAGTATGGAAGGCCATCCTTATCATAAGTTTAGTACAGGTTAGAATTTTCTCTAATTCAATTTACATTTCCCCTCATTGGATACGTCTGAATCATTATTTATTAACAATTCTGTATTCATCTGCTGCTAAGACTTTCCTTTGCTTGTAAAGCTTTTGGGTACTCCTTTTATTTTGCACAACGGTCAATTATTATTATTATTGTTTACCATTACTATTACTACTGCTACTGCTACTGCTACTGCTACTACTACTACTACTACTACTACTACTGCAACTGTTACTGTTACCATTATTATTATATTATTATTATTGGGATTCTAGGGATATTTAGGGTAGCTGGTCTTTCTCTCTTTCCTATTTCTTTTGATTGTTTCTTGTATATGTGACTCCTTTGTTCTAGTGCAGAGCATTGATATATCACTTGTAATATCTCCTTTTTTTTCCCTTTTGTAATGCTTTTTTAGTGTTTTGTGCTCAGTTCCTTGTATGTATTTATGTTTGTCTATCTACTATTTATTTCTTCTTCTTTTTTTTTTTTTTAAATTGCATTAGCACTTGTCAGAAAATTTATCCAACAAAAATTGAAAAATAAATATGAATGTGCTCTTGAGTATATACAGTTTCTAGCAGTGTATTGACTGCTTGCTCACTTGTAGGGAATTGGGATACTTTGGAGGTTAGACCTAAAGCAAAAGGAGTGGATACAAGACAAGAGCTGCTTAAATTCTATGATGAAAACTACTCTGCCAACCTTATGCATCTAGTCGTGTACTCAAAAGGTTAGTGACTAACTTTCCACATAGTTAGGGCTTGGTGACATAAGGATTTGATTTGACACAAAGAAAGTTCGTAATATTCAGTAATACACAGCCTTGATAAATATGGATTAATTGATTTTTGTTGTGAACTTTTAGAAAGTCTTGATAAAATACAGAGCCTGGTAGAGGATAAGTTTCAGGAAATTAGGACCTCTGGTCGAAGCTTCCTCAGTTTCCCTGGTCAGCCTTGCTCATCAGAACATTTACAGGTCTGTAGAAATCATGTTATTACTGCATTAACGCATTTCACATTTGACCATTTATGGCAGGTAGGAAGTAAATCTTTTGGTAGTATATTTTTAGCACTTCTATTTATTTGTCAATCTTTTGTGTCATCGGTTGTTTCAGATTCTTGTTAGAGAAGTTCCAATAAAAGAAGGCAACAAATTGAGGATTGTGTGGCCAATAACTCCAGCAATTCATTATTACAAGGAAGGGCCGTGCAGGTATCTTGGTCATCTTATTGGCCATGAAGGAGAAGGGTCTTTGTTTTACATCTTGAAAAAACTGGGTAGGTTGTTCAAATATTTTGCATGCATTAGGGTCGAATTCTGAAATATCTTACATGTTTTGCCTTCATAAAAATGTTATGACAACCTCAGTAAGAAAATTTTGCTAGAGTATCTTTTTTTGTTTTTGTTGTTATAAGAATTGAATTCATGGCAGATTTTTCTGCCAAAAAGGTGCTTCATTTCTTGAGGGTTTTGGTATATAATACTCCAACTTTTCTGAATAAAAATTTAGTTTAATAGAATCCAAATAAATTTAATGATAATTACTAAAAAATATATGTACATGGGCATGTCCTTGTTATTCAAGGCCACTTCTTACTTCTATGAAACTTTGCAGGATGGGCTACAGGATTGTTTGCTGGTGAAGGAGAGTGGACTTTGGAGTTCTCTTTTTTTGTAGTAGTAATTGATCTTACAGATGCTGGTCATGGTAAGTTCTTTATTTGTATTCATTTCCTTTCACCTGCTATTTATTGATTTAGTTATAATTCTTTGAACTATTGTGTTTTGGTAGGTTTTGGCTGGCATTGTTTTATTTTTGTTGAATCTCTGATATTGTTTTTTTATATTTTTCTTCACTAAAATCACTTCTTTTTTTTGGATTTCAGATCACATGCACGATATAGTAGGACTGCTATTTAAATACATTCAACTTTTACAGCAATCTGGTGTTTGCAAATGGATATTTGATGAGGTATGTTGCAGTTTGAGCAGTAGCTGACATACTTTTTTCCAGTGTTTATTGTTTTTGATATTCATGCTGGAGATGTGGGAAGGGAGTTGTCTTTCACATTTTATTGGAGTCTGACATTTTTAGTTGTCATGAAGCTTTCAGCTGTCTGTGAGACAGGCTTTCACTATCAGGACAAAGTCCATCCTATTTCTTATGTTGTAAGCATTGCATCAAAGATGCGGGTAATTGACTTGATTTCTTCCCTTTCGTCTTTAATTTTTCCTTTTCTGGTGAACCCTCTTTAATTTGTTTACTTTTTAAAAATGGCTATCTTGCATAGTTTTTACTTGAAAAACTCTTCTAGGTTAGTCTATATTTATATTGTATAATTGCTTCGTCTGGTATTGCTTTCTCAAGGATTTTTGCAATAAATAAATAAATAAAGACCACATGTTTTCATGGTTATGCTGTGCAAGTGGAAATGCACGACAAGCAAAGTTTATCTTATCCAAGTTATGTAAATACGTCCAAGATATCTGAAATCTCATACATCAAACACAAGATGCTGGTTCCTTTCTTCCATAGAGTATTTTATTGGGAATAACATCAGAGGAATGTTATTTCTTGAAAGTATGAGGTTTTTTGGCTAGTGCATTTTTGTTAAAACTTGAATGAGAGTAGATGGAACTATGGAAGTGTTATGTAATTCTTTTTTAAACAAAATTCTCCCAATCACCAATTATTTTACCAGTTTGATTGATATTCAATCACATAAAAATTATAACATCTAACCCCTAATGTACCATAATTTCCAACCAAGGGAGAAACACAGAAAAATCTGTGTTTGAAAATAATGTGGACTTTAATCTATTGTGCTTTAAAGTTTTAAAGTCCTGCTTTTAAAGTCTTAAAGTCCTATTTTTTGGCTGAAAATGTTTCAAAGTCCTTCTTTATATATATTTTTTTCCTTCACTCGTCTAATTGTTTTTTTTTTCCCATCAACTGTCATAATTGTTAGGTGTTGAGGACTTGAGTTTTTGCTTGTTTTATATTTTGTTACCATGGAGGGGTTGATCATCCTAGATTTTGTATGACCATTAATATGAATGGACTACATGAGTCCACTAGTCTCCTGATTGTATATCCTTTCACTTTATCAACAAAAATTAATTTGACCCCATTTTAACTGTTCAACTGTTGTTGTCTTCACATTTCTTGGACCAAAGGACTTAGTTACAACCTGGACCAAACTACAAGTGAAGAATAACTATCCTAATAACTCTTTTCTACAATTCCGTATTGAACTTGACTAGTCTAATTTCTGCATGTTTACTTGATACTTTTGAAATTGTTTTCAGATGTATCCTCCTGAAGACTGGCTTGTGAGATCATCAATGCCTTCAAATTTCAATCAAGGCATCATAAAGATGATGCTTAATGAGCTTTCTCCAGATAAAGTCCGGTAAGCACTAGAAAAATGTTTAGAGTAGAACAAATATTGTTGCATTTACTTGTATTGTTTCCCATTTTGATAAATTGTATTTTATATCCATATAATACAACTAATCATCTTGGCTGGTGATCTGGCTTGCTTATTTGAAATTGGTTAAAAAAGAAAAGCTGTCCACATACATTATGGTGAATGTTTAGGTAGAATAGATAACAGTGGTGAACAATGAATCAAGAAAAGAAGGTTTTTTTTTATGTGATAAATGATGCATCATTTTAAATTTTCAAATATTAATATAAATGAGTTGAAACATAGAAGGCATAACTGGTAGTATGGAAGTCGAATAATTTAGTTTCATATAGTTTAAAGAGTGTTAAAATAATAGTCAACAGTTTTAGTATGTTTTACTAAGGCTGAAGTGAGTGTTCAAAAATTAATGCAAATCTTTTCTGATGTTCACTTTTGGGTATTGAAACTCATACATTAGACACAAATAGGTTCTCAAAAATGTCAATTCCTAAATTTTTTTAGGATTTTCTAATTAAAACAAAGTAAAAAAAAAAAAAAAAAAATCCAAAACCATAAAAATGCATAAAAAATCCATGCCTCTTATTTTGGTGTATTTCTCATAATGCTGCAACTAGCTATCTGCATTTTTCCAGTTTGAAGGTGGTTTTGGTATAGTGTGGTTATTTTTTGCTGATAAGCTCCATGGTTTACAGAATCTTCTGGGAATCAAAGAAATTTGAAGGACTTACTGACATGGTGGAACCATGGTATTGTACTGCTTATTCCATTGAGAAAGTCACTACATCCATGATTCAGGTTTGTTTTTGGGTTTATGTGTAATGCCTGATTTTTCATTGTTCATGTTAAGTGATAAAATTCCACATCTTGAAGTTAAGGGGAAACCTTTGGTCTTAAATACATGGACTACTCCACCTATTACCAATTGGTTTTGTATTGGATGTTGGCCTTCCAAACTTAATCATGTTGGAAAATATCAGATACCCATGACATATATGGGTATTATGGTATGGATTTCCACTTATGGGGAGAAACTTGCACAAAATAATCATATCTCTGTTGCACAGTTGCCTTTGTTTGAGATGAACCGTAGCCCTTTGTACTGCAGCTAAATTTCAAATTAATTGAGCCTGTTTGGTTTTTGTAATTGAAATCTTTGAAACTTAAGTGCCTGGTGAAATCTTTGGTTGCAGGAGTGGATGTCACTGGCTCCTAATGAGAATCTGCATCTACCAATACCAAATATCTTCATCCCAACAGATTTATCACTTAAAGATCCGGAAGAAAAGGTTTGATAAATCCCTCAGTTTGGTCTTGCAGAATCATGTATAAATAGTTTTTCTGATTAATTTGAGTTCGGAATAGATCAAGTATCCAGTTTTGCTTAGGAAGTCATCCTGTTCAAGAGTGTGGTACAAGCCTGATACGATGTTCTCATCTCCTAAGGCATATGTTAAGATAGACTTCAACTGCCCCTATGCTAGCAATTCCCCTGAAGCTCAAATTCTCACATCAATTTTTGCCCGGTTGGTGATGGATTACTTGAATGAACATGGTAAGTTAGATTGCATACTTATTGTGTTCAAATAATTGAATAAAGATTTACTATCCTGTATGATAAAATTATAAGTTTATAGCCTTTAAATATGCAATGGGGTTTCAATTTGCCCTTTCCTTGCATGGCCTACTGTCTTCCACATTCTTTCTACTGGGCCTTCTGAATTTTTTTTTTTTTTATTATTATTCTATTTGTTAATAGCACTGTATTTTGACCAACTTGTTTTATTTCTTCCCAGCTTACTATGCCCGGGTTGCTGGCCTTCATTACTACATAAGCAACACTAATAGTGGTTTTGAGGTATTTTTTTTTCCCCTCTTTTTTATATGGATACTGTCTTAATAGTTTTTTGCTGCTGTTTGGTATCTATATAACAAATTGGACAGGTCTTTTCTTCTCTTCTCTTCTCTTT